TGATACCAGAGAAGGGCTGCGTGCAGTCTGTTCTCGAGAGCAATTGGCCAAATCGTCCTGAAAACCTTGACTGCAAATCTGTAGAAGGTAGCCTACTAAGTACTGACAGGTGCCGTCCTCTTGGGACACCCACTTAGCAGCCTGTCTCAGACATCTTCCATTATATAGAACTCAGCCTTCAGTTTGAAGATGATACTAGGGCTCACTCCAAATAATGCTGCGACTTGGTTTTGCAGAACACCATCTTGAAGTTACGTTATTGCACGAGCCCTATCCAGATCAGTCAAGCGTGGCCTGCCGATTCTTGGAGCAGACTGACCATTGTAGCAGGACCCATGCTCACAGGTGCAGCCAATTAGGCACCTGATTGGCAGCACCTGGGGAAATCATCCATCATTTCGTCTGTTTTCTTCCACTTATCTGGGGTCGGGTCATGGGGGCAGCAGCCTAAGCAGAGAGACCCAGACTTCCCTCTCTCCAGCCACTTGGGCCTCATCTGGGGGCATCCCAAAACACTCCCAGGCTAGCTGAGAAACATAGCCTCCAGCGTGTCCTGGGTCTTCCTCTGGGTCCCCTCCCAATGGGAACATGCCCGGAACACCTCACCAGGGAGGCATCCAGGAGGGATCCTAACCAGATGCCCGAGCCACCTCAACTGGCTCCTGTCAATGTGGAGGAGCAGCGACTGTACTCTGAGTCCCTCCCGGATGACTGAGCTTCTCACCCTATCTCTAAGGGAGAGCCCAGACACCCTGCAGAGGAAACTCATTTTGTCCACTTGTATCCAAGATCTCGTTCTTTTGGTCACTACCCAAAACTCGTGACCATAGATGATGGTTGGAACGTAGACTGACCAAATGTAGCACCAATCCGCTTATCAATATCCCACTCCATTGTTCCCTCATTTGTGAACAAGACCCTGAGATACTTGAACTCTTCCAATTGGGGCTGGACCTCTCCCCCGAACCGGAGAACACCCTACCTTTTCTGGCTCACGACCATGGTCTCGGATTTGGAGGCACTGATCATCATCCCGGCGGATTCACACTCGGCTGTGAACAGCTCCAAAGAGAGCTGGAGATCACGATCTGATGAAGCCAATAGGACCACATCATCCGCAAAAAGCAGAGATGTGATCCTAATATCACCAAAATGTATCCCCTCAACACCTTGGCTGCACCTAGAAATTCTGTCCATAAAAGTTATAAACGGAATCGGTGACAAAGGACAACCTTGGCGGAGTCCAACTCTCACCGTAAACAAGTCCAACTTACAACTGGCAATGCGGACCAAACTCTAACACCAGTTGTACAGGGATCTAACAGCCCGTATCAAAGGGCTTGGCACCCCGTTTTCCCAGAGTATCCCCACAGGAGTCCCTGAGGGGCAAGGTCGAACACCTTCTCCAAGTTCACAAAACACATGTAGACTAGTTGGGCTAACTCCCTTGCTCTCTCCAGGACCCTGCTGAGGGTGAAGAGCTGGTCCGCTGTTCCACGACCAGGAATAAAACCACACTGCTCTTCCTGAATCAGAGATTTGATTTTCCGGAGGACCCCTCTCTCCAGGACCTCTGAATAGACCTTACCAGGGAGGCTTAAAAGTGTGATCCCCCTATAGTTGGAACACACTCTGTGGTCCCCCTCTTTAAATAGGGGGACCATCACCCCGGTCTGCCAATCCAGGGGAACAACCCCCGATGTCCTTGAGATATTATAGAGTTGCAAAAACCAACGCAACCCTACAACATCCAGAGCCTTAAGGAACTCCAGGTGAATCTCATCCACCCCCCAGCGCCCTGCCACCAAGGAGCTTTTTAACTACCTTGGTGACCTCAGCACCAGAGATTGGAGAGTCTGACCCAGAGCTCCCAGGCTCTGCTTCCTCATGGGAAGACATGTCAGTGGGATTGAGGAGATCTTCGAAGTATTCTGCCCACCGAACCACAACGTCCAGAGTTGAGGCCAGCAGTACACCATCCCCACCATAAACAGTGTTTGTGTCATGATATGTGTTTATTTTCTTTAGTTTTCAAGTGTTTCTCTGTTCCCCTGTGTATCTCTCCCCTGTTGTCAATCCTCTAGCCCTGCCCATGCTTACCTGTTTCCTCTTATGTCTCCTCCAGGTGTTTCTTGTTGTCCTTATTAGTTTGCCTTTATATTCTGTGTCCTGTCTTCAGTGTTTGTCCATTCATTGTGCTGACTGCCTCAGCCGGTGTGATGTGTCTGTGTTCCTTGTGCCTTTTCTTCCTAAAAGATTCTCATGAGTTTTTTGCTGCCTCGACAGCCATTCTTTGTTTAATAAAACCTTTCTTATTGAACTTTGGATTTTTGCCTGACTACACCTCACAGAATGAAAGGACAAAGTACCCAGCCTGCAGGTAATGTTTTTGCGCCTCACCGCTCCCAGGAGGTTCAGCCCTCCTCCACCTTCCGCTGGGGGTCTTCGGCGGTCCAGTCTTCCACCTTCTGTTGGCGATCTCCCCCGTCACTTGAGTCCCCCTCTGCTGGTTCTCCTCCCTCTCCCTTGGAGGAGCCGGTCCCATCTTTGCCGCCGTGGGAGGAAGGGTCGACACACCCCTTGATCAGCGGATCACTGATGATCAACCGGTGGTCCTTCACCTCTGCAGCTAAACAACTCCTCTGCCAGCAGATCGAGGATGTTATGGCGAGCCATCCCAATCTGCTGCTGCCAGGCCACCGGAGGGTCAGCGACTACGCTCGGCAGATCCTGGCTGAGTATCCTGAAACCCACCCTCCCACCCCTGTTTTGTTGTCTGGGATTCCTGTGGCCAAACCGGTGGTTCCTGCTCCTGGGTCACCGAGTCATCTGAGTCTACTGGGTCATGTGAGTCTACTCCTGAGTTTTCCGAGTTTCCTGAGTTGGTGGTTCTACACCCAGTTCCAGAGTCTGTGGTCCCGGCGGCTCCAGAGTCGGTGGTCCCGGTGGCTCCTGAGTTGGCGAGTCCCGAGTTGGCTGTCCTTGAGTCTCGTGGGCTGACTGCCAGTGTCTCCACGAAATCTGGGTTGGCTGCTGTCACCTCCTTTTTGCATGGGTCGTCACCCATCACCTCCTCTTTGCCTGGGTCATCGACCATCGCCTCCTCATCGCCTCTGTCGCCTATGTTCACCATCATGGACACTCCGGCTCCATCAACTTTTGCCAGCTCTTCATCTGCTCCCGCCTCCTCCCCTGGTTCTTCGTCTGCTCCCGCCTCCTCCCTTGGCTCTTCTGCTCCCACCTCCTCCCGTGGCTCCTTGTCTGCTCCCACCTCCTCCCGTGGCTCCATGTCTGCTCCAGTTGGGCCTCGCTGTGGGTGGTCACCTGGCCGTCCTCCAGATCTCCTGCTATGTGCTGTATGGTCTTCGGGCCATCCCCCTGAACCATGTTTTGTCCTTGAGTCTGTGTTGTCACGTGTTTCCCTGAGTCTCATCCCTCCTTTTTTTTTACATAAGGAGCTGTCGTTGAGGGGAGGATCCTGTCATAAAATGTGTTTATTTTCCTTAGTTTTCTACTGTTTCTCTGTTCCCCTGTGTATCTCTCCCCTGCTGTCATTCCTCTAGCCCTGCCCATGGTCACCTGTTTCCTCTTATGTCTCCTCCAGGTGTTTCTTGTTGTCCTTATTAGTTTGCCTTTATATTCTGTGTCCTGTCTTCAGTGTTTGTCCGTTCATTGCGCTGACTGCCTCAGCTGGTGTGGTCTCTCTGTGTTCCTCGTGCCTGTTCTTCCTAGAAGTTTCTCGTGAGTTTTTTGCTGCCTCGACAGCTGTTATTTGTTTAATAAAACCTTTCTTATTGAACTTTAGATTTTTGCCTGCGCCCTGGGTTTTTCCCTGCCTACACCTCCCAGTTGGTAGCAAACTACTTTCCCCCAGAGATGCCGGATGGTGGACCAGAATTGCCTCAAAGCCGTATGGAAGTCTTTTTCCATGGCCTCTCCGAACTCCTCCCATGCCCAAGTTTTTGCCTCTGCGACCACCCGAACCGCAATCCACTTGGACTACCGATACCTATCAGCTGTTTCCAGAGTCCCACAGGCCAAAAATACCCAATAGGACTCCTTCTTCAGCCTGACAGCATCCCTCACCACCAATGTCCACCAGTAAATTCGAGGGTTGCCATCACGACAGGCACCAACAACCTTACGGCCACAGCTCAGGTAAGCCACCTCGACAATGGAGGCATGGAACCTGGTCACTCGGACTTATTGTCCCCCACCTCCCCCGGAATATGTTCAAAGTTTTCTCGGAAATGTGACTTGAAGCTCAATCTGACAGGAGACTATGCCAGACGCTCCCAGCAGACCCCCACTATAA